TAGTTAACAAATGTTATTGTGCAAAGTGTTAAGTAGTGTTGTATAAAGTATAGGATTTTATGTATTTTATATTTCGAAAATATTTAGTTAACAAATGTTATTGTGCAAAGTGTTAAGTAGTGTTGTATAAAGTATAGGATTTTATGTATTTTATATTTCGAAAATATTTAGTTAACAAATGTTATTGTGCAAAGTGTTAAGTAGCGTTGTATAAAGTATAGGATTTTATGTAACAATAACATTTGTTAACTAAATATTTTCGAAATATAAAAACACAATAACATTTGTTAACTTAATATTTTCGAAATATAAGATACATAAAATCCTATACTTTATACAAAACTACTTAACACTTTGCAAAAGTGTTAAGTAGTTTTGTATAAAGTATAGAATTTTATGTTTTCTTTATCTCCCAAGGTTAGACAAACATATAATTTTGTGGCTTGGTCGTTTTAATAACCAAGCATGTTTCAAAATACTTAACCTCTGGCTGCTTAAAGTAAATTTATCCCTCGAAATACTTTTAAAGTTTAAAGGAAAATTAATTATTTGAAAAATAGTTTTACTATACCACCAATTGCTAGAGTTGTTGTATTAAACATTAACAAGTTCGACTGACTTTTTGAAATGACACCTGTAAGGTTAACCAAACTTTACACTGTACGGAAGAACAATTAAAACCACTGTAATGGAATTTCTTTTACCTGGTTGAAACATTGTCTGTAAAATAAATGTTAGGCTACATAATTTACATTTTTAGATGTCTTCTAATTACAAGTGATAGTAATGTTTCGCTCTCTCGTTTCCTACGACATCTTCTATTACCTTGTGTTAGACTATCATAGAAATTCCTATAGGGTGGGGCGCAGTTCATATACTATGATAATGTTTTATTAAACGTAAATTTATTTAATCGCGTGTTATTGACCTTAGAATTTTATCATTGAATTTTGATTCTGAGGCCTTAAGCTTAGATTGCCGCCCAGTGGCACAGCGGCTTGTCTGCGGACTTACAACGCTAGAAACCAGGTTTCGATACTCGTGGTGGGCTGAGCACAGATAGCCCATTGTGCTTAATTTTGAACAGTCAAACAGGTTCTTTAAGAAACTACAATTATTTAAAAAACAAACTGTATTGAAAGAATAACAAATTAAGCTTAGATTTAAAAATAAAACAATTTCAGCAGGTGGCGTAGTAGTACCTTTGTTATTGTGTGCACTAAGTAAATTCTAATCAAGTTCAGGCTGTTGAATTATACATGCACATTTAGACTGCATTTCAGACATTACATTTATGTTCATTACCAGACACTTATTGGTTAAGTTTACATAACTTACTGGCATATTTGAGTTATAAAATTGTCATATTATCTGTAATTAATATAGCATCTTTGCATAATAAAAGACATAGTTGCTTATTATTTGTGTACATTATTTATTTTTATAAGTTATAATTTTAAACATAATGTTATTTTAATATTTTCAAATACAGAATTTTTATGCATGTAAGTTTAATACTACAAGATACTGTGTATACAACTGAAATTTATTTTACAACAACATGTACTTACATCACACACACACACACCCAAGTTCAGCGCTATGGCCCGTAATTTCAGACTTTCGTGGATAAGATTAAACTTCTAAAATCTGATTTTTCATCACGTAAGTATTTAATTGTCAAAATGACTGTTGGACATAAGAACTTATCATAAACTGATGAAAATCTTGTAATAACCGTTTGAATCGTATATGTTGGTGTTAACTGAATGAATGTTTTGCTTTATGTCTTGCTTAATATTAGCTAGTAATGTTGGCTGCATGAAATATATTTCTTCCTAATGAATCAGCCTGTTTCATATGATAAATAGTTGTCCATGCTTCCATCTTTTACTGCTTGTTGAAGTTGATCAGCATGTTTAACACAACTCCATCTGGCGGCTAATAATCAATCAGCGCGGGAGCAGCCACGAGCAGAAGTAACATGGCTGCTTCTTGTGAACAAATTGTTGTAGTCTCCACTTTTACTTACCCTTTCCTAACTAACTCATTATGGTGTGAAGCGTGCATTGTATTAGTCATTGTTGTTATTTGCTTGTGAAATATCTAAGACAATGTAAGTACTGATGAGAAATAACGTATTACAGAGACCCCTAGGAAGTACTCGTTGAATTCACTTTTAAAGGAACATTGTCGTTTTGGTTATTTCTACAATTCACAACAATTAATAATATTTTGTTCTCTAAAGAAAAGAACTGATATCTAAAAGCTAAATTGCTAAATCTAAGTTTGAGTTTCTATATTTGCATCCCACTGTGATGTGAGAAAAGCGTGATTGCTATACGTTCTATATTTATCTGGAAAGCTGTTATAACGATAGTTCAAAATAAAAGATTTAAAATCTGTTTGTTTTAGAAGTTTGAATTTAGATATTGAAATACCACTGGCAGGAAAAGTTATCCCTCTTTATTATGGGCATTTTAAAATCACTTCAGAAAAATGCTACTTTTTATTATCAAATATGACAAAAACAAAACTATAAGTCCTTTATACTTCATACATACTCTTGTAACATCTAACAAGTTCTAAAAGTATCTGCACTTCTCTGTAATATGCAGGAAATGACTTGTTATCCAACGAATAATATTGGGGGGGGGGAGACGATAGTCAATTTGGTGAATTTGCCTTATCACCCGGTGAAACAGCAGTACAGACTGCTCACAAAATCGTTGCTATAAATTATCTCCACTGGTTATTAAATGTCGTTAAGACGACTTACTAACTGCGAGACGTATTTTAAAATACTCAGCTTGAACGTTTAATGTTTGTATGTAATATCATTTGTTGCCGCTAGGATAATATAATACTTTGAGTTTCTTCACGCCCAAACAAAAGACTGCTTTAGAATTTTGTGAAGATTGTTGTTTCTTAACGCTTTTGGTCGAAAACAAAATACTAAAAAAAGTCATTTCATTAAATAAACACATTTTGAAACGAAACGTAGCATCTCAAGTTAGTAAAATTAATAGTTTTGTAATTAAATTCGAAATACTGAAATATCGTTAGAAATATATTTAGGTTTATCTGCAAGTATCTCGTGTTGCATCATTCTTTTTCTTAAGAAAAAGGAATCAACAACGTTTGATAGAATTAGAACACATTTGTAGTCGTCCACATTTTTTTTTCTTATGGGCAGACCACAACTTTGATTGGTCTGTTGAAAACTGCTCGACTACTACGATTGGTGAGGGTGGCGAGAAAAATCGACCGCTACTCAGAATATGGAGCTGCTGTGCTGCTTCTGCTCATGGCTACCTTCGCGCTAATTGCTCATTGGCTCGCCTGCATCTGGTACGCCATCGGCAACGCCGAGCGCCCTCTTCTGAACCCCAAGATAGGCTGGTTGGACCACCTGGCAAATGCAACTCACCAGTTCTATAACAACTCCAAAGGAGGTCCTAGCATCAAAGCCAAATATGTGACAGCGTTGTACTTCACCTTTAGTAGTCTGACTAGTGTGGGCTTTGGCAACGTCTCTCCAAACACGAACATGGAAAAGATCTTCTCCATCCTCATCATGCTTATAGGATGTAAGTCACCAGAAGAGTTAATTTCAATTCCCTTAAGCGTTTCTTGTGTAGTAAATAATTTAGAACTTCAATCTGTAGATTCGCATAGTTCATTTAAGTGTTATTATTTCTTTACGTATTAGGTGTTAAATTTATGTTGATGCCTTTGATTAAAAGTATTTTGTCTTATAACTATTATTATTATTGCACACAATCAATTGCAATTTGGAAGAACACGTATTTAATCTTACTTTTGTTCTCTGATTTTTTGTTTTTTTAATTAGGATAAGGCTCAAAATTATACTAAAAGTTTAACAAAAACGTCATTTTTTCATTATCAATAGTAAAATTATTATAATTTTTCACGAAGTTTTGATCTGATTTGATTTTTTTTAATTGTCTTTTGAGAACTTTTTATTCACGTTACTGATCTTTGGCATTCATTCTTATTCATTAAGTTAATTTGTTAAAAGCAAAATGCCTAACATTCATGGTTGCATTATCAATTAGATATTGTAGACAAAACTGTAATGACAATAATAATAATGTATTTTATTGGATATTCTGTGGTTGTAAATAATACGTGCTATGCATAGATACTGATAATAAAATGTATTTTCTTTGAAGCTCTAATGTATGCCAGTATTTTTGGAAACGTATCTGCCATCATCCAAAGGTTGTACTCTGGGACAGCTCGGTATCACACTCAGTTACTGCGGGTGAAGGAGTTCATTCGGTTCCATCAGATCCCAAACCCGCTCAGACAAAGGCTGGAGGAATACTTCCAGCACGCCTGGACTTACACCAACGGTATCGACATGAACATGGTATGCTTTCGACTTATTAATCACGTGATGGTTACATAAGACGAACACGATTAAGTTCAGAATTCTTACTGTTTTGATTCTTAGTTATCCGAATTTTGTATTTAAAAAAATCAACAACTTAAAAATTAGTAATTATGGATGAACATACGTTAAGACCGTTCTAACCGTAATTTACGTTATTGGGTGTATTCATGAACCGTATCATTATCGTAGCATAAAACATAATAATTGACAAGTCAGTAATGCATTTTCTAATGAAATTCATGTCAATTTATTTAGAAGGAAATGTTCAGCAGCATTAATTCTCAGTTATTCCCATATTAAGCCTAAAACTATATTTACACGGCGTGACTGTAAGCAAATTAAATTTCAGAGATAATGTCAAACAAACAGAAGTTTTCTTAATCATCAAGTAGCCAAAGAAAAAAGACCTTAGTGCAGACTTACCATAGTGAATCATTTCTAAAAAACATCAACATTTAGTTATAAAAACTTTACCTTCCTAATTCACATGGGTCATCAGTTTTCTGATAGATCAAAATGGACGCATCAGTATAAACCTTATTATGTGAATGTTTGTACAAATAACAAACGTTATTACATTAAATAATTATATGATAACGTGATGAAGTACGAGTAAAGTAACTACATTTAACAAGAGTGGATCATACTGTTAATATTAAAGGGTGAAACGAATTTGATTAACCGAAAACGTTTGACAGGAAGTAGTAAAAAAGTGGAGGACTCATTGTTTCACTCATGTATGTTTAACGGATGGACTTTACCATCTTGTCTTTGCTTAATAAATGAGTTAGTGAATTAAAAAGAATAGTGTTTAATATACGTAAACTGTATATGTAAAAGATGCTTTCGTCTTTTATATATGTATAAGAAGGTTTGTTTGTTTTTGGAATTCGAGCAAGGCTACACGAGGGCTATCTGCGCTAGCCGTCCCTAATTTAGCAGTGTAAGACTAGAGGGAAGGCCACCCACTGCCAACTCTTGGGCTACTCTTGTACCAACGAATAGTGGGATTGAGCGTCACATTATAAGGCCCCACGACTGAAAGGGCGAGCATGTTTGGCGTGAAGGGGATTCGAACCCGCGACCCGCAGACTGCGAGTCGAGCGCCCTAACCACCTGACCATGCCGGGCCCGTATATGAAGGAAAGGCTGTGTTTGGTAAAACATAGAATAAGAAAACAGTGGAATAGACAATTTACGCAAAAATAAAGAAATTATTTTGTTATTTTATATATAAATATAACGCCGTTCATTCTTATTCCAGGTAGCATTAGCTGAGGTTATTTGATTAAGTGAACACCTTATTCCGGGTAGCATTAGCTGAGATTATTTGATTAAGTGAACACCTTATTCCGGGTAGCGTTAGCAGAGGTTAATTGATTAAGTGAACACCTTATTCCGGGTAGCATTAGCCGAGGTTAATTGATTAAGTGAATACCTTATTCCGGGTAGCATTAGCAGAGATTAATTGAGCACCTTATTCCAGATAGCATTAGCTGAGATTATTTGATTAAGTGAACACCTTATTCCGGGTAGCGTTAGCAGAGATTAATTGAGCACATTATTCCGGGTAGCATTAGCTGAGGTTATTTGATTAAGTGAACACCTTATTCCGGGTAGCGTTAGCAGAAATTAATTGATTAAGTGAACACCTTATTCCGGGTAGCATTAGCTGAGATTATTTGATTAAGTGAACACCTTATTCGGGGTAGCGTTAGCTGAGGTTATTTGATTAAGTGAACACCTTATGCCGGGTAGCATTAGCAGAGGTTAATTGATTAATTGAATACTTATTTCATACAAATCGTCTAGTTTCATTGTTAGTGTTCATTTTATTGTCCAGTTTTTCCTTCTTAACTTGTTCAGAATAGCTCTAACATACACTAAATGTTCTCTCCAGCTTTTGCTACTGACCGCAGTGTTTTCATAAAATCCCTTAATATCTGTTGGAAAGTTCTTGGATTTCGTTTTAGCCCAAGTGGCATGACCTTGGATTCAAAGTCCACTGTAAATCCGAAAAGGAGTCTTTGTTCTGGCCCTGTCTTACAGGGGAATCTGCCAGTATATTCAAGCTAGGTTTCATACTAAAATTTAGTCTACCTTACCTAGATTGCCAGCTAGTTTGATATCCATAAGCATCAGGTTGAATTTTATCATTCAAGAGACTTACTTTTCCTAAAACACAAATAAGCGGTGTAACAAACAGGTGCTGAAAATACTATACATGTCATTTATCTAACATATTTGCAATCTGTTCACTAACCTGTCTTTTAATCTTACATGGAACCATAAGAGCAAAGGCAAGGCTTGGAGGCTCGACTTGCAACCTTCGAATTCTCGTCAACGAACATGCCTTTCAGCCGGGGAGGAATTATAATGTAACGGTCAATCCCACTATTTGTTGGTAAAAGAGTAGCTTAAGAGTTGGCGTTTGGGTGGTGTTGGCTAGCTGCTTTTCCTCTAATCTATCTCTGCTAAATTAGGGACGGCTAGTGCAGATAGCCCTCGAGTAACTTTGCTTGAAATTCAAACAAAACAAAACCTTTCTATTTCACGCTTCCGACTTCGTGTTCGAAACGAAACGCCTCTAACTTCCATTTATATTGTACTTTTCACACTTAAATCTGTGACCAATCTCATGTCCTTCTGTCGCCCTGAGTTAGGTTTTACTTCCTTTTGAAGCTTCACCTTCCCCATTTGACTGCAGCGACTTCCTGTTGTCCATGTTTCTGCCTAATCTACCTTTGGTTACAATTTCTAAGCCATTTCTTTCTAATTAACTTTTCATCCCAAAATGGTCTGTCAGTATCACTATTCATCTCTTTAATCCTTACTCTTATCTCGGTGAGCTTCTAAATTTGACATATTTCTATCATCCAGTACCTTACGCATGCTCCACAATTCCTTCTCAGTTCGTTCATATAAGCTCCTCGATTAATGTTTCACTAAGTTTGAGTCTTCTAGTCATTGTGATATCAATTTCAACACAAACAAGTTAACTATTATCTATCATAACTCTTTTCAATATTATTAACACACGTATGTGAATATATATATACATGTATATGCCTTATATCTATATAAATAAATAAATATTGTTTGTTTGCAATTAAGCACAAAGCTACACGATGGGCTATCTGTGCTCTGCCCACCACGAGTATCGAAACCCGGATTCTAGCGTTGTAAGTCCGCAGACATACCGCTGTGCCACTGGGGGGCGTAAATAAATATATATATGTATATATTTGAGTAAATATATACACACATGCGTATGAGTATATATATACATGAGCGTAGTTAGTGTTCTTAGAATGTGGATTCGTGGTTCGCGTTCAGATGTTCCAAAAACGCACTTCGCACTAGAATTCGTTTGTACAATATAAGGGTGACGGTTATGCAAGTCCCACTATTGGGTCAGATAAGAGTAGTCCAATAATGGGCGATGGGTATGGTTTACCAGCTGCCTTCCTTTGAATCTAGCAGTTCAAGGATAGAAATGACTATGAACAGGCGATTCTTCGTACACTTTTAAACGAAAATTCTAAAACAGCCAAACAAAACCTTAAATATTTTGCCTTCATCCAAACCCAGATTACTTGCAGGTAGCGCGTTCAACACCGTTAACAACCATGTCAAAATGCACTACTTACTTATAATATTTGCCACTATACATTGTTACGAACGGTTCTGTATGTAATAATATGTGGTACAGGTGTTATTTTAAAACACAATATTGCGTGGTCACACCAAAGTCTGTTTAACATGCATTTGTTAGTTCCTCTGTAACGTTTCTGGTTGTTTCTCGTGGTTAACATTAAAGGAGATTATTTCGGTTCTTAAATTATGATAAAAAGTAACAGAACGAAATTGTTTGTTTGTTTTTACTTGCACCCTGTTTTCATCATTTTATTCTAAAAAAAATGATGCTCGTAAACTTTAGATTTGACAGTAAGAGTTTGTTTGTTTGTTTTTGAATTTCGCGCAAAGCTACACGAGGGTTATCTGCGCTAGCCGTCCCTAATTTAGCAGTGTAAGACTAGAGGGAAGGCAGCTAGTCATCACCGCCCACCGCCAACTCTTGGGCTACTCTTTTACCAATGAATAGTGGGATTGACCATAACATTATAACGCCCCCACGGTTGAAAGGGCGAGCATGTTTGGTGTGACGGGGATTCGAACCCGCGACCCTCAGATTTCGAGTCGAGACAGTAAGAGTATTTTAAGAACTAATATTTATACAGGAACCAAAATGTTACATTTTTTTTATAAAAAAACGACTCTATGACAATACAAAGAGACTAATTTAGTGGGAAATCATTCGCTTTAATTTGTTACCAGACCCAGGTTCCCCATAGATGAGGTATTATGGAAGCTGACCATTTAGAGTAATGACTAAGTGACTTAAAAAAATTGAACATTTTTGATTATGATTAAGCTTTCATTGTTTCTAGTAAACTGGACACATCTTCGGGTACTAAGGTAAAACGTACTGTTTAAATGACCCATCAATGTTTTTTGTTACGAACGCAATTTAAGGTGATTTTAGCGACACTGTACGTGTTGGGGGTACCAACGTATTTTTATAATACTGCAATACCTCGTATGGTATTTTGATAAGTTAGATTATGTATTTCTTGGCGGTCTGCGTACCAACATTTCTCTTGGAGGGTAAAAACATTAAAAAGTTTATTTGTTTGCCATTTTTAGCGCAAAGCTACACAATGGGCTATCTACGCCTCTTCTCCGTGGAAAATCGAACCCTGGATTTTAGTGGTGTGAGTCCGCAAGCTTACCGTTAACCCACCGAGGGGGGGATACGTTATAAAGACTAACATGGTAGTGATTAAATTAATTTTTAGTAATGTAGACTTTTCTTGAATAACACTTTCCTTTCCAATATATTTGGCTTGGATAGATCCTGCGTAGAACTCTGGATAAATCCTGCGTAGAACTCTGGGTAGATCCTGCGTAGAACTCTGGATAAATCCTGCGTAGAACTCTGGATAGATCCTGCGTAGAACTCTGGATAGATCCTACGTAGAACTCTGGATAAATCCTGCGTAGAACTCTGGATAGATCCTGCGTAGAACTCTGGATAAATCCTACGTAGAACTCTGGATAGATCCTGCGTAGAACTCTGGATTTCGGAGTTGGCGAACCGGGTTTGAATTTATGTGATACCACAAAATCACTCACACTTTAAACTGTGGGTGCGTTATAGAGTTATAGATAATATTTTAGCGTGGATAATGGGTGATAGGGTGCTACTTACTGGCCGCCTTCCTTCTATTGCGTTGTTTAACTTTAGGGATGCCATAAATACAAATAGAATCGAATAGTTTTCGAAAAAAATAGTTAGGCCAATTTCTGATAGTATGGGAAAAATAAAGTATTTATTCTAACAAGTTCTTTAAAAAAAAAGAGGAAACATTTAAGTTACTTTTGTATGTTGTTTTTTTTTCATAGGTACTGAAGGGGTTTCCGGAATGTCTTCAAGCTGATATATGTCTTCACTTGAATAGACAACTTTTGGAAAATACTACGCCATTTAAAGATGCAAGTCCCGGATGTTTGCGTGCTTTGTCCATGAAGTTCAAAACGACTCATGCACCACCTGGCGACACGCTTGTGCATAGAGGAGATGTTCTCACAGCTCTCTACTTCATTGCCCGGGGAACGATCGAAATTTTAAAAGATGACATAGTAATGGCAATATTAAGTAAGTCTAACACCGTTATAAAACATTTTGTCCAGAAACTTCGAATCTGTAAAGAAATTTGCGTTATATGATACGTCATGTAGTTATTGTATATTATTCTCTGAAGCTATGTTGACTAGACTATTGTTCCATGCTTTCGAAACATCTGATATAATAAAATGACGATCAGAGTAGAAACTACATGTAAAATAAAGTTTCATTTATTTCGTTAGAAGAGTACAAATACAATAACACAGAAAAGCGAACTGTGAAATAGCCTTACTAGACTAACAAATGATATTCATTAAAGTGAATTTATTGGACAGTCTTTGTCATGTTTTTTTTTTTTCGTGTCAGAGGTCATGGCGTTCTTTGATTTGGTATTACAGGTAAAGGTGATGTATTTGGAGAAAATCCGTGTTTGTATCAAACAGTAGGCAAGTCTAGCTGCAATGTTCGTGCCTTGACTTATTGTGACCTTCACAAAGTCCTCCGAGAAGATATTCTGGACGTTCTGGAGCTTTATCCAGAGTTCCATGATTCCTTCAACACAAACATGGAGATTACGTTTAATCTCCGAGATGTAAGTAGCTAGAAAAATTTCAAAATGCCGAGTTTCTGGGATGGAAGTAATAGAAATGGCAATTCTGTAAACCTGAGATACTTCTCTTCTCCAATGTAGTTATTAAAATTAATTTCTGTTTTGTAGCATCACAAGTATGTAAGATCGACAGACAGTAGTCTATCTAGTAGTTCTATTGCTTACATTTAAATAAGTATTATGCAGCCTATACTGAGTATATACATTCTATACTCTTAGAAAGATACTAAACATCAACCTGGCAATCAGTATAGCTAATTAATTGAATTTCACTTATGTTTCTACTTATAAAGATTAAAATGCATTGTTTCGTCATTATCAGTATAGCTAATTAATTGAATTTCACTTATGTTTCTACTTATAAAGATTAAAATGCATTGTTTCGTCATTATCAGTATAGCTAATTAATTGAATTTCACTTATGTTTCTACTTATAAAGATTAAAATGCATTGTTTCGTCATTATCAGTATAGCTAATTAATTGAATTTCACTTATGTTTCTACTTATAAAGATTAAAATGCATTGTTTCGTCATTATCAGTATAGCTAATTAATTGAATTTCACTTATGTTTCTACTTATAAAGATTAAAATGCATTGTTTCGTCATGTGGATGCCCTCGTGATAAACGATATTTTCGGTCGTAATCCTAATAATATCGACCGTAGTGAACTTCAATAAAATGGAGACAGTTCTAGTCTTTAGTACGTTGGTAGGGAGCAAAATGACAATAAACAATAAGCATGTTTAATCTATGGTATTTAAATAAAGGTATCGCGGGTATGTATGTAAGATCAATAAACAGTAGTATATCTGGTGATCCTACTGCTTATATTTAAATAAGCATTATGCAATCTAATTTAATGTGTACAGTTTATATCCTGCAATTTCACGTTGTACTTAGGATTTGTATCTAGAATGTTTAGCTATTTTTGTTGATGATTGATTGCTGTCAAATAATGCGATATACAGGGACGTTTTGATGAACAAAAGTATTTGATTAAATTTCAGGCAGACCAAGCTGCAGTTGACCCAGAAATTTTCCGGGGAAAGTTCGCTTATGGCCAAGTAATTTCACCTGATGAAGGTTTGAATATTTTATATATTTTCATTTTTTTTAATCGAATGAAATGCAGGTGCATGAATTTATGCTACTTAAATATTATGTAGATTTATATGTTTATTGCTAAAGCTGACAATAGAGTTTTTTGTCCAAATTTAAAATCCATTTAATGTCGCATTATTATTATTATCACTTTTTTTGCATAACAATGCTGCAATCTATCATACACTCAAGTTCGAAATTATTCAAACCACAGGAGTAAAAGTATTTGATAAGTAAGTTTCAAAACGCAGAAAGTGTGGAAATAGTTAACTGAAATTGTGGCAATGTAAGTTCAAGCATGAAACACCTTAACTGTAAAGAAAATAGATATTACAACATTTAAAAACCACTCATGCTGACCGAAAGTACCGACGGAGTATCATAACCGTTCGCTTCTTCTGTTTGTGAAAAATCGCTGGAGATAATATTGGTAATAAACTGACCTTGACTTCACTGCTTGAGAAGTGACCAAATGTAAACGGGCACCATTTCAGTGGCCTATGAAGCATGCTCACCATTGGTGACGAAATGCTGGGATGCATAATCAGTACAGCATCTCTGAAATGGTAGACACAGTTTTACTTGATGGGAAACTTGTCAGCCAGTACATCCTTCCTGGAATGATAGACATAGTTTTACTTGGTGTGAAACTCGTCAGACAGTACATCCTTCCTGGAATGACCGGTACAGTTTTACTTGATGGGAAACTCGTCAGCCAGTACATCCTTCCTGGAATGACCGGTACAGTTTTACTTGATGGGAAACTCGTCAGCCAGTACATCCTTCCTGGAATGACCGGTACAGTTTTACTTGATGGGAAACTCGTCAGCCAGTACATCCTTCCTGGAATGATCGACACAGTTTTACTTGGTGTGAAACTCGTCAGCCAGTACATCCTTCCTGGAATGATCGACACAGTTTTACAGTCGAGACCCAATGAAGTGGTAAATTTCAATATCAGTCATAAGTGTTTTAAACTTCTTTGTCTTACCTCTATTCTCAGAATCCGTGCAGAATAACAATTATTTATGGAGAAAAGAGAACGTTAAAATCATTGACTTAATGAATGTATCGTATAAGAAAACATATTAATTACACGAAAAAAGTAGAAAGTATACTTACATACTTAGGAAATAATATCTGTAGTTCATACTGTTTCTAAAAATAAGTTGTTCGATATTACAGTGTATGGATCGAAAGGATGACGAATGATTAAATGCTAGTAACTCAGATTGTATTATCAACGGTATTATAACTATAATAAAATAGTGATGGATGAGAAGAGTCATAACAGTCGAGTTATGATGACTTATTATACAACGGCGGAAAATTTCAGGATGACGAATGATTAAATGCTAGTAACTCAGATTGTATTATCAACGGTACTATAACTATAACAAAATACTGATGCATGAGAAGAGTCATACCAGTCGAGTTATTATGACTTATTATGCAACGCCAGAAAATTTCAGAGCGTGCAGAATAACTACTTTGATGTAGGCTTGCTGAGCTTAAACTAAATACCGTTTAATATTTTCCTTTCTTCAGTATATCATTTACCAGGTTATTAAACTATTTTATGCAAAACAAGTTTTAACTTAACTTTACTGAATACAGCTTAAAAGAAAGGTTTTTTTTTATTATACCCTCTTTTTTAACAGCACATTTCTAATATTATGTAAGATGGTAGTAATAGCTATTACGGAACTGTCAAATGGTAGTAATAGCTATTACAGAACTGTAAGATGGAAGTAATAGCTATTACGGAACTGTAAGATGGTAGCAGTATCCGTCGTGGATTTGTAGGGTGATATCAATAGCTGTTACAGAACTGTAGGGTGATATCAATAGCTGTTACGGAACTGTAAGATGGTAGTAATAGCTATTACGGAACTGTAAGATGGTAGCAGTATCCGTCGTGGATTTGTAGGGTGATATCAATAGCTGGTAGTAATAGCTATTACTAACTGTAAGATGGTAGTAATAGCTATTACTAACTGTAAGATGGTGGTGATATCTGTTAGGGACATATCAGAAACCTATGTATCTACGTAGTCAAGCGTCCTGCGCCGTGTTCTGTTTGTTATTGTTATGTAAATGATACTCTGTGAACTTCTCCTTATAAACTGGCGTTGAATTTTTTTTTCATGTCTAGTGGAAGACCCCCGTCTTGTGGCATATCAGTATCCTCGACCCAGACGGCGGAAAATATCATCAAAGCACATGTCTTCGGATGGAATCATGGAATTGACTGATGAGGAAAATGATAGAGATTTTAGCGGGACGGGTATCTTAGAGTTTTCACCAGGTAAAGCAGGTCAGGATATAACTCCCGTGAACCTAGAATTCGGTGATCGGTCCGATAGTCAACACGGTACCATTCATTCTATTGCTGGTAGGCGATGTTTTGGTACATTGTATAAATAATAATTTAATTTTTTTGTAGTCTATACACCAAGATAAAAACGTAGGCTTAACTGTCAAAATCTGATACTAGAACGCCGTTCATTATTAGTTTAAATACACTTTATCCACTGAAAGCAGTGGCATACTTTTGTAACAGTAATTTGAGTTGAACTTTTTCTTTTACAATTCCTACCAATATAATGGTATTATTATTATTACCGTTTTTTTGCTCCTATGATGTTAGAAGTTCTTAATAAAAACCGATTTCTCTAATGTTATGTTAATCAGCTGAAGTAGATCTACTTTGATCGTGAATAAAAAATTAAAATACGAACTTCATGTAACAGACATGACTAGAAACTGTACGAAGTGACACCTACTGTTGACTTTATAAACTAGCAAGACATATAATGAATTCCCTTAAGCTCTACTATCTTTGAACCTTCTCTATAAATTGGTAAAGGAACGTGATATCTGCGAAAGAAAATTATTACACCATACTACAATTATAATGACTGTTAGAGTTATAATTTCGTGCTCTCTAACATGTGTATGTATATGCTAGCAGGTGCTATGTCTAGCCTAACAAACCTCACTAGTATGGTTTTTGGGGGAACTCTTGGAGTGGCCACTGACCGGTCTTATTCACAGAGTTCTGTTACAAAAATGGAAGAAGGAGCAAAACACGACACTCCAAGTATTCAGACAGGGTCCAGACCCACTTCCGTCTATGCAAATGACAAAGATAAGATTCCATTAAATGATACAGTTGAACCAAGTAAGTCCTTGAAGCATATTTTATATCTAACTTATTTGGATGTTTTATTATAAATGTGTAAAGAACAAATAAACTGTGCTTAGAACAGTTTTTTTTTACTGTAGATGCCATATAATGAAAAGCGTAACAGCATATTGAGCGAATCTTTAAAGTGCTCGAGTTTTTGGTATAGAAGTAATAAAGATTGTATTAAAGAAGTTTAAAAGTGTTTTGAGATTAAAGACTACAAAAATATAAGTAGTTTGTTAACTTTAATTTTTAGTTTCGATTGTTGACATAATTAACATATCAACCATGTAGACAACTTCAGCCAGTATTGTGTAACGAGGGAAACATTTTATGTCTTTTTGCAGATTTATACCAATAAGGCTTTTAATTCACTTTTAGGTTTTTAACAAAACTTAATTCTAGTGGATTTCTTTTCCAAAAATTCTGCTTTTCTTCTTCCAGTTTAATTTATTTTTTTAATTTCAGTAAGTGATTTACTGCAATTTTGTTTTGTTTTCAACCCAAATATTTTATGTGCACCGCTTTATTTTGAACAACTAAATATTGTCATATTAGTGGTATGTTCTTAATGTAACATATTATAACAGCAGTAGCACGATTTTTATGTACAACCTCATCTATTATGTAGCTGATGACTGACGACTTTTATGTACAACTTTATCTATTATGTAGCTGATGACTGACGACTTTTATGTACAACTTTATCTATTATGTAGCTGATGACTGACGACTTTTATGTACAACTTTATCTATTATGTAGCTGATGACTGACGACTTTTATGTACAACCTCATCTATTATGTAGCTGATGACTGACGATTTTTATGTACAACCTCATCTATTATGTAGCTGATGACTGACGACTTTTATTTACAACCGCATCTATTATGTAGCTGATGACTGACGACTTTTATTTACAACCGCATCTATTATGTAGCTGATGACTGACTACTTTTATGTACAACCTCATCTATTATGTAGCTGATGACTGACGACTTTTATGTACAACTTTATCTATTTATCATTTATGCAAAACGTTCATAGCTGAGAAAATATGTACTGACCACTTTTATATTGATGTGCAACCAGTCTTCTACAAGTATTTAACTTCCCAGTCTGCTTCTTTGACTATTACATCCAAAAGCTAACGCTCTTTAGACCTACTGTCTACTTATCTTTAGACCTAACTAAGGTAGCTATATTTTATGTAATTTCTTACGTATACTTAATTTTACCTCATGTCACTTTACGTGTGCTCGGACTATTGTTTCGCTTGAGCAAAATGAGATTATAAAGAATATTATTACATTAGATAGTGTACAATCTGATATATCATCGCATTAACATTTGGCTATATCTAGTACAATTTTACTCATCTGCGTATTAATTTAACAACTACAACATCATTTGTGGTTCCATTAAATACAACGGAAGGACATGAGTACACTTTTAACATCATCTGTATATTAATGTAACAAGTACAACATCATTTGTGGTTCCATTAGATGCAACGGAAGGACATGAGTACACTTTTAACATCATCTGTATATTAATTTAACAACTACAACATCATTTGTGGTTCCATTAAATACAACGGAAGGACATGAGTACACTTTTAACATCATCTGTATATTAATGTAACAAGTACAACATCATTTGTGGTTCCATTAGATGCAACGGAAGGACATGAGTACACTTTTAACATCATCTGTATATTAATGTAACAAGTACAACATCATTTGTGGTTCCATTAGATGCAACGGAAGGACATGAGTACACTTTTAACATCATCTGTATATTAATGTAACAAGTACAACATCGTTTGTGGTTCCAGTAGATACAACGGGAGGACATGAGTAACTTTTAACATCATCTGTATATTAATGTAGCTAGTATATCATGATATGTAATTATGTTGGATACACCAGGAGTGCACGAGTTTACCTCAAGATTTCACTATTTTAACCTCAACATCTTTGATAATGACTCTTACCTTTAATCCTAATAGGTCATACGTAGTGTTAATAGCGTGTGTTTCTATCTCCTGTATATTTTTTTAACTACAGAGAAACCACAATAACTAGAAACTGTTTTAGTGTATTATTATCATTATTCGAATATTGACATGTTGAAACGTGTAAAATATAGCATTGGATTATTAAAACATAATTTCAAAACATGTGTGTAAGCTTCTATACGTAGTAAGTACCAAGTGACATCAGAGCTAATCGAAGTGTATACTCATAGACATTATTTTATTGGCACTTGTGTATAATGTTAAAATAATAAATCAATGACACTAAAAACATTAAAATCGATACACAAGTAAAAATATTTCTAAAACGTGAACTCTACGTGTTTCCTGATGATAACGTGGTAAACATCGAAACATGAAATTTTAGAAATGTTTCAATTGTGTATCGATTTCAACGTTGTGTGTTAATTATTTATAATTTTATGTACACATATTCTAGTATCATTATACACAGAGTAATTACCACTTGCATTTTTTTTCGCCATTAGGTTTCAGGTTTTATCAGCCATAACTTATTATGTGTGATGGAATATTCATACTAAATGCTCAAAACTGGATCAGATCCGGTTAACTCAGACATGTTACTCGTTGAAACATTACCAGTATTTAAAAAATCAGAAGTGGGGCTCAGATTATTGTAGCCTTTTGTCATCCTGCCCTTTGACCTTGGTGATACTATGACACGATAAGAATATTTTACTTTGTGAAGACGGAATTTGGACATTTTTTAAAGCACACTCGTATGTAGCCTAATAACTTATGTTATTACAGGCTAATTTTATCGGTACGGCTCTAATAAATATCTGATAAAAGAAAATTAAATAATAATTGCTAGTTGCATGCAATAACTAAGAAGCTAAGTGTTTTTATTACTTAAGTCATGTTATAACAATCCTCATCCATTGCCTTTTTTGATCTCGTGCATTTATGAGTTGAATTAATGGATTGATTCACTTTTCTAGATAATTACAATCAAAGTATTCTGTTTTTTATCTCTTTTTTTTCTGTGCAGTTACACCCTCATACATATCCTTACCTAACTATCCCTCCAACACCCCTTCAACCGATGGCTCAGCAGTAGAATTAAAAAAGTTTATGACGCTTAAAATCGGTTTCAATCCCTGCTCAGGTAACTCATTATTCAGCTTTAAGCTTAATTTATCTACTTTCTAGTACCCATTTAGGGTATGAAGTTTTTTTTTCATACTGCTCATGAAACATTGCGATTGATTTTATCCCCACGCATAACTTACATTAATCAATACTGAAAATCACGATCAGGTACAAAAAAAAATGCACTAACGGTTTATGTTGTACAAGATTCCTGCTCAGGCCATAGAATGATTTCTAGCAACATTATTGTCCTCCACTTTCTTTTTTTTTCCCTTCCCTTGCTTTCATATTTTCTTTTTCAGTTTGCCCTCGTTCTCGTGACTAGTTCCATTTGCTGTTACAGTTTCCAGGATTGCATCCGTGTCTTCCATCAAAAATTCGTTCTCAGTGCCACTAGATGAAGTTCCCCAACCTTCTGTTCCAACCAGTGCTACTGCTTTACTCTCCTCTGATGAGCAGTCCATAATGCAAAGATGCAGGTCTGGACCCGGCCGCCTTGCTTCGAATGACACTAGTGCCGCCACGCGGGCGACTAGTAGTGTTCCAGAGATGAGCTCCAGTTTAACCATTCCTATGTCATACTCGAGTCCATTTTGTCGGCCATCCCCTGGTGACGACATTTCTACACCATATCTAACTCATCCGGGTCAGTCAGACGTAACTACACTGGAAGCGAGAATAGACGCTCTAAGTAGGTAGGTAATTGTGGTCAAGTTTCCTTATACCCGTGATTTTATGATCCTCGTTATTACGTAATCATCTAATTTGCCCAATAAAATAAAAGTATTCATTCTAACCTAAAATCTTCAAAAAATGGAGAAATAGGGATAAAAACTACCATAATGATGTTTAAAATCGTGATGTTTCGTTCCTATATAGTCATTTAAAATGCATTCGAGTTTTGAAATGCCTTCATAACATTTACATGCAATCATTAAATAATTCTCGAAAATTCGTGTTACTGAATGTGTACTATGAAAAATATCTTTCTAAAGCACATATGATAAGTGTCTTCTGTATCAGAGGCAAAAGTGAATATATTTCTTTCTAAAGCACTTATGATAAGTGTCTTCTGTATCAGAGGCAAAAGTGAATAAGTTTTTAGGTCTTCTTTGGATTTGCCCTCCCATGTTAGTTTGTTACGTTGATATAGTCACATATAGCCCCTCGATGGCTCATCGGCAAATCTGAGGGATTATAATGTTAAAAATCAGGGTTCGATACTCGCAGTAAATAGAGCAAAGTTTAGCATTGAATAGCAACAAACAATTGCAATATCAGCCAAAATGTCAACTGAAAATGCGTTTTGAGCAGCCAGCTAGCCTTCGTCAAAATCACTCTCACAAAAATAGCACGAAACAAAATGAAGTTTTGTCCAGAAAAAAGCATTTTTAAATTTGCATTTCTAGTGTTTGGACATTTTTGGAAGGAAGATACATTTATATACTTATCAAGGTAAGTGAAGTAACCTTAGAGAGTGTCTTTATTGCATTTAGATTAAGATTTTGAACTACTTAGTCAAAGCTTTGTGTTACCGATTTTTATAATCATTTAAGAAATGCACCCGAGTTTTGTTCCCCTTCCAAAAGTTACTTATCTGGTTTCAAAAGATCATAGTAATATTTTTCCATCCAGTAATACACTAGATTGATTTCTGGTTTCAAAAGATCACAGTCATATTTTTCCATCCAGTAATACACTAGATTGATTTCTGGTTTCAAAAGATCACAGTCATATTTTTCCATCCAGTAATACACTAGATTGAGTTCTGGTTTCAAAAGATCACAGTCATATTTTTCCATCCAGTAATACACTAGATTGAATTCTGGTTTCAAAAGATCACAGTCATATTTTTCCATCCAGTAATACACTAGATTGATTTCTGGTTTCACAATATCACAGTCATATTTTTCCATCCAGTAATACACTAGATTGATTTCTGGTTTCAAAAAATCACAGTCATATTTTTCAATCCAGTAATACACTAGATTGAGTTCACCATTTCTATTTTCAAATGATAGCTAATAAGACTGGATGAAATAACACCGTCAAAAAATCCTAGGGATAAACTAATAATTTAGGTTGAAAATTTAGACATAATCTATAAAACTATTTCATAAAAGTGACATCTCAATTCAATTATCTCTAATAATTCTACCACCAGTTTCCAAAATGGTTCTTGTCGATTCTAAACTTTTTCACCATCACCAAAACTAAGTATTCTGCCCTTGTCTTCAGCGTTATTTAATTTTTATGAAAAATGCGTTATTTTTAAGTTAAGAATCAATTTTACCTGTACTGTGGTAAGTTACTCGATTTCTAACATTCAGTTTACAAGGAATGTTGAAATTATACATAAAACCCTCCTTCTCTATTTTATATACTTGACCGATGGAAGTAGATTGTTTATGAATTTATAAAAGCGATACTATATGATTACAATTGTTACAGTTTATGCAGTAAAAGAATATTTTAACTTTCTAACGAACAACAGTGTTCAATTGGTTGATATTTATCATGTAGTCAACAGTGATTTAGCACTTAATCTCAAACATTATTTACTTTGACAGCAGAAGTGTTATACGACGGTTCGATTCAATGGCGTGTCAGAATTTACAGAAAGTACTGAAATATCGAATTTTAATAGCGGTTCTCCAACTTACAGAACTTAGTATACCAGCAGTTTAGTCCAATAGTAGAGTTTAATTTATGTTAGTTTATTACAATGGTAAGGTCTAATTTATGTTAGTTTATTACAATGGTAAAGTCTAATTTATGTTAGTTTATTACAATGGTAAAGTCTAATTTATGTTAGTTTATTAAAGAAATAAAT